ATAGAAATTTATTAAATTTTTAAATTTAAATATTTATAAATTTTAATAGATGAAAAATTTACTTTAAGAAAATAATTATATATTAAGTTATTTTAATAAAAGTTTAAATTAAAAAAAAAAGAGAATCAAAAAAAAGAATAATGGGTTTTTAAAAAAAAACTTTTTAAGGAAGTTTAAAATAAAGCACTAAAATTAAAAAAGAGGAATTATTTTAGATATAAAATTTTATCAAAATAAAATTTTAAAAGATTTGATTCAAGTCTATTAATTAAGTTTTTTTTTAATTTAAATGTAAATTTAAGTAAGTGAATTTTTTAGAAAAAAATAATTTGCAATAAATAATATTAAATATTAAAGAAATTTATAGATTTGATGATAAAAAATAATATTTACGTATTCACTGAGATGTCACAGTTTAAAGTAGACTCATTAAAACGGACAAAACTTTGGAAACAACTTAATAATAACAGTAGGTAATACTCAACTTCGACAAAATGTTTAATTAGCGAAAGCATAATTGAGAGAAAAATTGCGGTAAAAATTGTTTGCATGCACATAATTGTTTATTCACCTATCCAGAAAGTCACCAGTATTTTTTCAAATTTTGAATACCTCCAATAGTTAAGATATTCGCAAAAACGAATATTGGCCATTTTTCATAACTTTAAAACTATTTGTTTGTGTAACTTGGCTGGCATACTGGTAATCAAAGAACGAGCTATGAAAAACAGTTTCTCGGTTCATCCTGCATTACTGTATTTGTTTAACATTTCGTAATGGTTGAACCTTGTCTCGTTGCTCTCCAAATCTACCCATGAAAAAATTATGAACTGACGTAGGAATATCACAATCGCTTACATAGAAGTTGATAACCTGGTTTTGCATTTCCTTGAAAGCAAGCGTGTTGTAATCAAATCTGACTACAATACGCTCAATTACTGTTACCAAACTATTGTGCAGAGGTATCGAACATGAACATTTACACGAATTATTCGATGTCATAAAAGTATTTACTCGCTTATATAAATTAGAGAGAAATTGCAAAATTGTCCTCGATAACAGTTTTTTTATATAATGGATCACACTTTCTCATATAGTTATTAACGCTGTGACATTTGTTCGTTAAAACATCACATGTTTTATGGAGAAGATTTCACATAAGTTTGGATTCTGGTTACTAGATGTCTTCTATTTTTCTTCTTGTGTGTTCCCTCCCTCTTACTCTCTGTATTATACAATTATATATTTTTGGAATATCTACTGTTTTCAAAGGTTGGAAGGTTGTTTCCTCATAAAACCTCCCATATTCCTTGTGATACTCCCCACAATTTCCCATCAGAAGATACAGAGAAACATGAACAACGCAGTATAAACAACATTGGATCAGAGATACAATCTTCAGTCAAAACTCTTGAGTTTAATAAACATTTGGGTTGAATAATAGTGGAAACACCTGTTTCATGAACAGTATAATCCAATGTTTATCAAACACGATATGGTTGTTGGAATATTTAAAAAAAGGATACTTACATGGAAGATATCAATACTAGTATTTCTAGTATGAAAGGTGCTTTAATCAAAGCGTTCGCAGAAGTTATCAAGGAATTGTGGTCAGAAGTTTCATCTGACTACAAACACTGCCTACTTTAAAAGTCAGATTCACAGATTTTCCCCTCGATTTATGGGATCTTCCCACCAAGACGCCCAGGAATTCCCTTGATCTCTTTTAGAAGGTTT